TACTTCTAATGCTGCTTCTGACTCACTGGGCACCTTGGGCAGGTCCATGCTTCAAGCTCCCCCTTACCCCCATTCCCCACACACACACATCCCTCTCCATCTTTTGGAAGATAGAAATGGGTTCCCTCCCAGGCAGTGTCATGAAATCTGAAATTCTGGGCCAGGCCATGGAGACACCAGCTGTGGGTGTCTTGTCACGCTATACCAGCAGAGGGCGCTGCTGCACAGCACATGAGGCTCTTAGGCAGAAATGACCAGCCTGGCTGCCCCAGGGGGAGTTTTCTGGCGGTTTCCCAGCCTTGGGCTGGCAGAGTCAGACTCAGTATATACTTGGGCTATGAAAGAGGTGCTGGCCTGGAGGCTTAGGAGGAGTCTGAGGTGCCAGAGTGGTCCTCTGAGAGGCTTGATGAGAACCTTCGTGGGAGCTGACTGTGTGTATTTAGAGGGAGAACAGCCCGGTAGAGGTAACTTCCCAATCTCTTCACCTGTCTTTTTTTAAATATATTTTTTTGTTTTTTGTTTTTTTTTTTTACAGAAAGGAAGGGAGAGAGGGATAGAGAGCTAGAAACGTCGATGATAAGAGAGAATCATCGACTAGCTGCCTCTTGCACACCCCCTACCAGGGATGTGCCCGCAACCAACATACATGCCCTTGACCGGAATCGAACCTGGGACCTTTCAGTCCGCAGACCGACGCTCTACCACTGAGCCAAACCGGTTTCGGCTCTTCACCTGTCTTGATTCCTCAAGGCCACAAATGTACCAGGCTCTTTTCCACCTCGGGCTCCAAGCTTTAGCTGCACCATCTCATTGAATTCTGTGAGGCAATTACCACTTTACAGATGAGAATAACGAGCCTCAGGGAGGTTAAGCAATTTATCCAAAGCCACACCACCAGTAAGGGGAGGATTGCAGATTCACAGCTGCTGTTTGATGCCAGGGCCCAGCTCTTAACCAAGGCGCTGCCTCCTGGCCAAGACTCAGAGTGGAAGTGACTTTCCCAAAAGTCCTTGCTCCAACCCACCCCCTATATAAATGTCCTAGCTTGCCTCAGTTTCTCTACCATCAGTGAGATGGTATTAACAATAACTGCTTTCCTATTCTTAGGTCCCTGGGCAGATGCACCCGCAGTGAGTGCCCTCTGTTCTGACCGACTCCTGTGGGCAAGCTGGCTCCTGTGTGCAGCAGCCTGGCCGCTCGCCTTTTCTCCTCACTGGTGGACATAAGTGGGCTGGTGCTGAGGATAAGTGGAGGCATGTGGGTCAGGGGAGCAGGAAACCTGGCTGGAGAGATCTGGAATTGAGGGGTTCCTGTGGAAGAGGGGAATGGGGTGGGGTGGAGGGAGCTGTTGAGGTCACTCTAGAAGTCCTGCTAAGTAAGTGCCTGCTGTGCACTAACCTGCTGGGATGCAGAGAGCTTGTGATGCTGGCAGGCAGAGTGGACTCCTCCACATGGGTTCACAGACATCGGGGCTCTGGGGAGACCAGGAAACCTCCCATCTTCCCAGCCTGGAAAGAAGAGAGGCCAGAGGGACAGAGAGACCATCTGGAGGCAGCCTGGGAGGAGGTGGTGGGGGCAAGGTGGACAGAGGGGACAGCCTGAATGACGCCAGGCATAAAAAAGCAAGGGAGCATGGGGAGCTTCGCTTACCCAGAGCCCGCTGCTGACGGGGAGGATGCTGAAGGCTAGGAGTCTTCAGGCTGAGGACCTCGGCTGGCACAGGAGGGTTAGGAAGTGATTCTGAGCTGATGATATCTGCTGGTTACCGGCGTCCTCAGTCCTCCTGCTGCTCTGTGAGTGGACAGGGAGCCATCTCAGGGTCAGCTACCTCTTGCCCGGACACACCTTCCTGGGCCACGCTGAGGTGGGCTCAGGCTCCACGCTCTGTGTGGACCTCAGGGGAAGTGGCGCCTGTGCTGGCACAGCCTCTCAGGAGGCTGTGATCTCCCTCCCACACCGGCCTGAGGACGGTCTCTGAATGCGCTGCGGGTGAAGGTGGGGATGGGACTGGGACTTGGGGTACCGGGGTCAGTTACTAGAACTATCAGTCCATTCTGTTCCAAGGGACAGACCAGGTCTTCCCACTTGCTGTGGGCCTTTGGATGCTCTGTTTCTTCTGGCCCCAGTTCTCCATCTAGTAAAAGACCCTCCACCTTGAGACTTAAGACTCTCCACCTTGAGAACAGAGATAGGGAGCAACAAAGCCATCAGCTCTGAACCCCTGCACCCCACTGCTCTCTGCTCCAGGGTCAGCATGAACATGATGAAGAGCAAACACCCTGTTTACCCTAAAGAAATGAAATTTTAAAGGACTTCTAAGAGATCTCACTTTTGATGTAATTACAAAGAAAAAAATTTTAAAGAACAAAATTCCCAAACCATATGCATTAGATTTTCCCCAAAACAGATTTCCTAAGTGACAAAAGCTGTGCCCAGGGAGGAGGCTCAGAACCACCCTTGAATGAGGGACAAGCCCATGTGGGGTAGAGGTGGGGTGGGATGGGGTGAGGTGGGGGTGGTCCACTGTCCAACCGCTGGCTCTGCAGCCAGGACTCCTGGCACCACAGCTGGGCTCCCTCCCTGCTCACTTCATCCTGATGCCTCTCCCAACAGGGACTCTGCCCAAGGCAGTCCCACTTTCTCCCCTGCAGCCCCCCGGGGCCCTTCCACCAGGGTCTCCACAGTGACTGAGGTGGCCTCACTATCTTCCCACCCTCCACCCACTTCTCCTCCCCCAACTTTGGGCTCCATATGTCAGACACAACGTGCTCCCTTTTCTGCCTTTATTGATGATGCCTTGTGCATTCTCCTGACGGTTCAAGCCTGAGGACCTATTAGGCACTAGGCGTAGAGCTGGGTGTCAAGACACAGCTCTCCCCAGGATAGTGCTGATGCTGCCCCCCGAGTTCCCACCCCAACCCCAGGGCCTGCCTTGGTGGATGAGCTCTGTGAATTACCAGAATTTGGCAATACATCTCACATTAGAGCATTATGGTAGCCAGTCCCCAGATGGCCCCACTGCCATCTCACCACTCATGACCTTGTAAGGCCTCTTTCCACAGGGAGCTGCAGCGACTCTGTGTGACCAGCAGATTGTGTGACCGACATCTGATTTGTGTCCCTATAAGCAGCATTGCAGCTTCTGTCTCAGGCCCTGGGGGAACTGTCCCCATGCTGTGAGGCTGCGCAGGCAGTCCCAGTCCGTGGGGAGGCCCACACCGAGGAGCTGCGTCCCCTTCCAACAACCAGCACCAATCTGATCCACAGCCATGGGAGTGAGGGGGCAGGCCCTCTGCCCCAGGCAAGCCTTCAGATGCTGCAGCCTGGCCAATGACCTAACCGCAACTCAAGCCAGAACCACCCAGCTAAGCTGCTCCCAGATTCCTGACCCCTAAAACTATAGGGGAAAAAGTGTTTATTTAATGTTTACCATAGTCTAAACATAATGGTTGAGAGCAGGGCTCAGAGGAGTTAGTGTTCACATCCTGGCTTCACCGTTTTCCAGCTCTGTGCTCTAATCTCCTGTGCCTAGACGGGTTTACCTGTGCCGTCGGGGTGTCAGCTGTAGCTAAACAAAGCCATACTTAACTCATCAATGCACGTGAGGGCTAACCAATGGAGTTAGCGCTCCCCATTGTATGGCCTGGGACCTGACGTGTGTACGTGTCCATGTCGGCACAGAGCAGCTCCTGGCCAATGCCAGCTGCACGGACCAACGTAAACTGCTCTCCCACTCAGCCCAGCCCTCCCCCTTCAGCTCTTTGCTCCAGCTTCTCCCTGCAAACTGCTCCTGCAAGAGAAACCTCAGACCTGAGAAACTTGAGGGTCTCTCCATCCTCATGAGCAAGTGAGGTCCCACCAGCTCCCCCGGGAGGCTGGCAGGTGGCTGTGAGGTCCCCACCCTAGATGTCACTCACACATCCAGGGAAGAGGGGCCCCATCGCGACCCAACTTGGACTGCACAAGGAGAGAGTGGCCCTAGTTTTTAACATACACCCAGGTACCCCCCAACCAGGGTCTGTTTCTGTGAGGGCAGTGAGGGCCCAAGGATGCCAGCTCCTTGGAACAGGAGAGGGACCAGGCCAATCCCGAGTCCCTCCCAGAGCACAGCCCAGGTGTTTCCGGCAGACCACCTCCATTTCTCCCTTCACACTCCAACGCCAGGTCACCTGCCACAGGGAGGTCATAGGTGTGCCTTCCAAATGTTACAAAGATGATTTTTCAAGAGGAAATTCTTCAGTGTAGCTGAAGTGTGACTGACTGATTTCTCTCCCCTCCTGCCAACATCTGTTCTCCGGAAGAGCCCGGAGCGGGTGAGGGTGTCCCCTGTAGAAGGAGCAGGAATCCAGCCATGTGGGGTGTGCAGGCCAGAGGAAGGGGACATGGCCCAGCTCCACAGGACAGAGCGGCTGTGAACGTGCCACACACGTGCGTGATGTTTCAAACCGGACCCAGCGTTCGCATGCTCGGGAGCGGACAAGCACACGCTGTCATCGTCCCACGGGCTTCAGCCGCAGGGCTGTCTGCTGCCATGTGGGGGTGAGCCTGCAGCGGGGGGTCAGGCTGGGGCACCAGGAAACGCGTCCACAGAGCCCATGAAGGCAGGCTCGGCAGGCTGCCCCGACACTGTCCTCAGCCTGCTGCGGCAGGGAGCCTGGGGAGGGGAGGCAGGGGGCAGTGGCGAAAGCAGGGTGGACTGGGTCCAGGCCAACCCCGTGGAAGGCAGCTGGCCCTTCCCTTCCCTTGCGTGTGAAGACTCACTGAGAGGGCCGAGGCATTCAGGCCTGAGAGCAGACAGAGCTGGGCACGAATCCCAGCTCCCTGTGTGAGCTCAGGCACACTACCAACCTCTCTAGTCCCGTTTCTTCACCTGTAGAATGGAGGTGACACCAGGATCTCCCCCTAAGGATTAAGGAGATGGTCTCTGTAAGGTGCCTGGTATATAACAAATGCTCAATGAATGGAAGCTGCAAGCATTACTCCAAAGCATTGGATTAGTGCACTCACTCCAATACTTGGAGTGAAATGATTTATTTACAAAACCTGCCTCTGGTCTCTGCATCCCTTAGTTGTCCAGTGGGCCCTGCTCCCCTGCCTGGGTTGAGGAGGCTGCAGCAAGACCGCTGGGAAGGTGTGAGTGCTGGGCCTGGCAGAATCCCCTCGTGGAGCCTCTCTGGGGGCTGCTGCTCCCTGTGTCTCACTGGGCAGGGTTTCCAGCCAGGAGAGCCAGGTGGGAGCAGCTCCTGGGGTTGGGGTCCCTTCCTGGGCGTGTGGCTGATCACAGGCACAGCTGAGCTGCTTCCTTCTGCTCCTTGAGGAGAAAGGCAAACCCCAGGCCTGCTGAGCTGAACATCAGCATGGAGCCACACCGCAGCCGGCACTGGGTGCCCAACTCAGTGGGCTGAGAGGGGACGGGAGAGCCTGCCAGCTCTGCAAGTTGTGGGCACTGAGGCAGGGGAGTAAAGCCAGAAGGCTCTGGTCCCAAGGCAACTGAGCTCTGGGAGCCTTCCCCCTGGCCACCTTGGCCCTCACTGATCAGCAGGGGCTGGGGGCCTGGCTCTTGTTGCTGCCGGCTTCTGGTCCTTACTGTGTGAGTGCACCAGCCCTGGGCCCCTCCCCTGTGCTCTCCTGGCCGCCCGCAGAGAGGCAGAAGGCCCCGGGCTGGTGTGCAGCTTCTCCTCGGAGGTTCTGTAGTAAGGCACGAATCCCGAGTCACGGAGGGTATGGTCACTGAAGGCAGCATTGCTTGACAACGTGGTGTCCAGGCCATTGTCGTGGGAGTGCCCTGCGGAGACCAGCAGGATGGTGCAGCAGATGGGCGAGGACTCAGAGACCAGGTCCAGGCCTGCCGAGGCAACCTGGTCAGAGGAGACAAGGTGGTTAGCCAGGCTCCCAGGTTCAGTCCAGACCCAGGACTGGCCTGTGCCTGCACCCCCACAGTGGCGGTAGGGGAAGGGCCCATCCCACACTGGGAGATACTCCTCAGCATCACTCACCTCTCCAGGGCTCCCAGCTAGAAGGGGTGTGTCTGGGATGAGAACCCCTCAGCCTGCCCCCTCCATCTTTGCAGTCATGGGCACAGTGCCCAGCTTCATGGTGCTGGAGGTGGCCATCAGTAACAGGGCACGTATTTGTTCTTGGTAGCAACTGTGCCCTTGGCCAAGTCACCTAGCTTCTTTTAGACTCATTTTTCTCATCCATAAAGTGGAAATAATAATCAGAATTATCTCATTAGACTGTTATTAGGATAAATGATGTAATACATATGAAGGATTTGGGTGCCTAGCAAGTCATAAGGACTACACAGATGTTTCTGTAGGGGAGCACCAAGCTAAACCTGGTGTCATAGTCACGTTATTATATGTAATTTGTGCAGTGGCTCTGTGACTGGCTACGACTTTATCTTCATTTGATAAGGAAACTGAGACTCACAAGGCTTGAACACATTCCTCAGGCCACTGTACTATTAAGTGGCCAAACTGGGACTGAGTGAGGTAGTCTGTCTCCAGCCCTGTCTTAACCAGGAGCCCCAGCCGAGACAGCCTGGGGGTGGGGCACAGGCCTGGCCTACTGGGGCCTGGGGCCCTGGGACAGAGGTCTGAAGGAGGCCAGGGCCCAGGGCTGCTCCCCACACCCTTCTGTGGCTTCTCACGGGGCCTTACTCACAGAGCTCCCACTGATGGCTGTCCTGTGGAAGCAGCCAGCGTGCGCCTCCGTCCTGCTGGGCAGGTTTTGGCAGGCCCTATGAGAAAGGCTGGGAAAATTCTCCTCCTTGGAGCGGTAGTAAGGCAAGAGCCCACCAGGTGGTTCGGAGTCCTCCCAGGATGGCACCTCCAAGATACTCCCAGCTCCTCTTTGGTCACTCCCAACCTCTGGCTGCATGGATGACTCCTCATTTAGGAGCTGCTCATAGGAGCTGCTGGAGGACGGGTACTCCAAGGTTCCCCGGGGGCTACGGGAGGGGCCAGAGTTGCTGATGGGCTTGCTGCTTGTTGAACTGGTGGCCTGCTGTTTCTGAGATGGGGGCCCTGAATCCTCCTCTTCCCGGAAGTTCTGAGAGGACGAGTCTCGGGGCTCATCCTTGGAGCTCTCCTGGGACGACTGGGGAGAGAAAGGAACTCCATCTGTTACTGCACCCCAACTTCTCCAGAGACCCTGAAGGCCAGAGGGGTCTTCCAAAGTGCAAACCTGAGTGTGGCTCTCCTTTAAAACCCAGCCCATGGCTTCCAGCGAGGGTTAGGTTACCCATGAGCCTGCCGGCACCTACAGCTTCCTCTTACATCCTCTCCCCCTGCTCCACTCTGGACATGCTGGTCCTCAGTCACATCACGCCGGTCCTGTCTTAAAGCCTGTGCGCAATCTGCTCTCCTACTCTCAACTCAGAGGAGCCTTCCCAGTCCCCGCCCTCAACCCTGTGACTGCAGATCACTTGACCCTTCACTTCCTCCCGCAGCGAAATGTCCTCGGTCTGTGGCCTTCGCAATGCGTGTATGCAGTGGTCCTGTCTGTCTGGTGCTTCTGGCTCCTCGTAGGCACTCAGTTGATAGTTTTCCAACAAATGATTAGTGTAGTCTGCTGATTCTCAGCCCATCTCCTATCCCAGCAGTCGGCAACCTTTTGGACCTCATGGACCACCAGCTGGGGACCATTCCCTTCACTCTGTTTGGTCTGGCCACACATATCTTCTCTCAGTCCTTCAACATGACAAGGGGATTCCCAACACAGGGCCCTTGCACATGCTGATGCTCCTCCCTGAAATCTCTTCACTCTCCTTTTCCCTTTATGACAACTCCTTCAGCTCTTGGCTCCCGGTCACTTCCTTGGTGTAGCAATATATTATTGACGTTCACCACCCTCGCCCACAGCAGCCATTCCTCCCCTGTGAAACATTCATAGGCATGATTGATTGGTGTCTCTTATCCCCCAGTTATAAACTCCACCAAGGCCAAGTCTGTCTATCTCCTGTATCCTCAGGGCCTAACACAGCCCTGGCATGCAGTAGATACCAAATATTGAAAGAAAGGTGGGAGGGAGGGGAGGAGGCCAGGAGCAAAGTCTTTGCCAGACTCAATGTCGATAGGCGGGAGAGGCTGTGTCTTGGTGAGAGAAACCGGATGGAAATAAGGAAGAATGTCCCTGGCCCAGTGGAGACATAGAGGCCCAGAACACTGGCTGTAGAACAGCCAGCACATTCTCCATCTCTGCCTGTCCAGCCAGACCCAGAGCCCCTGGTACGCATGGTGGACTCTGCATCCCATATAACCATTGTGGTCTGGCCCCCAGCTTTTTGATCCCTGCGGGGGCCTCTGGACTGTAAGTGCCCTCCCCCCATCACATGTGGTCCATGCTTGTCCTAATTTGAGGTCACTCAGTCCCAATCTTAGATCCTAACCTGCGGTAAGTCTAACCTGCGGTTCCACGGGCTGCGAGCTCCTGGAGAGCAGGGACCAGGCCCCATACCCGAGTCCCAGGGCCCAGCTCAGGCCAGCTTGCTGAGTTTCTGCCAGTCCCCTTAAGGTCTCCCTTAGGTGGCCTATGGGGACAGATTTGCCTTTCCCACTAGTGAGGACACAGGCCAGGCTGGTGGCAGCACTAGGGTTTGAGCCCACATCTGCCCTACTCCAAAGCCTGTGCTCTTTTCACTGTGATTTACATGGTCTTGGGGGCCGAACTCTGTCCTCCATAGATTATCGAAGCCCTGATGCCTGTGTGTGTGATGTGATTTGGAAACAGGGTTTTTGCAGATGTAATCAAATTCAGATGAGGTCAGACCGGGTTTGGGTGGACTTTAAATCCAGTGACTGTGTGTTTACAAGACCCGTGGAATCTGGAAGAAGACCCAGGGACAATGTTATGTGACAACACAGGCAGAAATCAGAGTGATGCTGCCTTAAGCCAAGAACCTGCGAGGATTGCCAGCCAACACCAGACAGGAGCGGGCCCAGGAGCAGTCTCCCTCTGAGCTCTGAGGAGGACCCCACCCCTGGCGTGGGGCTGCTGGCCCGCAGATCTGTAAGAATGAATCTGTGCTAACACCCCCTTTGTGGGGCCTTGTTCCTGCAGCCTTAGGACCACACAGGCTGGTTGGCTGGCCATGTGGCTGATGGGATCCAGCACAAGGAGAGGATGGCAGGGCTCTCCCTGCCCCACCTGTGGGCAGCTTATGGGGAGAGAACCATTGCTGTGACTGCTGTCCCCTACGTGGACACAGCTAGGCCTTACCCTTCCTGCCATCAGTGGTGCTGGCCCAGGGCAGGCCTTCGGGGTGGGCCAGTGGCTCCCTTATGCCTCAGTCTTCCCCGCTGGGGCCCTGATTCCACTTCACCAGTGAATCCTGGATGGAATGGGCCGGATATGCCTCCACCAACTCCCCAGGCGCTCGATGCCACTCATGCTGCCCCTGAGACACAGCCTCCAGGTCGGCTTTGGAGTCAGCGGTAGCCCTGAGGTGTCATGATCAAGCCTAATCTAACTCCAGCTGAAAAGACCAGGCCTCTTCCCACACCCCACCCTCCTGGCCTTCTCTCCTGCTCGGCCAGTCAGAGAAGATTCCAGCATGAAGTCACAAAACCTGATACTGGGCAAGAAAGCCAGATGGCTCCGTTACCATGGAGCCCCTGCCGAAGCACCCAGTACATCTGTGATCACCACCTGCCTCTTCATTCATCCTAATCCAGGTCTCCCCCAGAGACTCCCGGAGACAAAGGGAAGGCAGAAATCTCTGGAACCAGATCATTTCTCCCTGATGGGCCAATGGGCTCCCCGGGGACCTGCACCCAGAGACCAGCAGAGTGCCCCGGGGCCTCCTGGGAAGGCGAGGGGGTAGCTCCACGGGTCCTTCTGCTAGTCTGGGCTCCTTACCTGGTGCCTCAGTTTCCTCGGGGCTGGTCTCTGTTCTTGTCACTCAGTGTCAGGGCCTTTCATGGGGTTCTGCCCAGGCACTCCTGAGCCTGAAGTGGGAAGTCACAGGAGGACTGGTTATGCCGAATGCCGGCTTTCTCCACCACCGCTGCGTCTCTCCCAGGCCTGGAGCTCCTGCTCAGAAGGACACAACCTCCAAAAATGCCACACGCAGTCCTCGCTGCAGACTTCAGGTCAGGAAGGGCACCGCTGTCCTGCCAGCCTGCAGGTGGGAGAGGGAGCCTCAGGTTTCGGGCAGCAGAGGGAAGGCCTATAGTCCATCTTTAGCTTCCAGGTGACCAGCCCCAAGTAAGAGGAGGGACAGTAAACCCTGGGTTTTGTGGGCCTCAATTTAACGGACTTTGGAATTAATGGACAAAATGTCCGGTCCATGTATCATATGTGAAAATTAACACCCTGTTAATTTTAAAATGCTTTAAACCAAGATTTGCTTATAATTAAATTAACAGGTTATTTTTTTTCTATTAATTCACTGTTATTTTAAACAAATTTTAGCAGCTAGGCAATATGTTGGAAAAACACTGTAGTAATTTCGCTGACAAATAAATATTACATAGTACAGCTATAGTCTACATATTTAAATCCAAGAGTCAATGCTCATAAACAATGTTCGGTGAATGATTAACTCTTGATCCCACCCCAGCACCTGGGGCGATTGGCTCTGTTGTCTCGTGGTGTGACTTTCTGCAGCAGTTTTAACACGTGCTGCCCACGTTCCCACGTGCGCTAAGCCATGCCCCACCCACCCGTGCGCCTTTGTTTACTCCCAATGACTGGTGAATGCACACATTTACTAAACCTACTGAGTATAAGTTTAAAATTACTGTAATACATACAGAAAACTTTCTGTGAAATTAAACTTTTCATACATACTTAATTTTAATTACACAAACTAGTAAAAGCATGTGAACTAATTTGTCAATTTTTTAACATGCGTATTTAAAAAACCTATTTTATTACATAATGGACTTTTGGCTTTAATGGACACCCCCTGAATTACTCTGTTAGATAGAGAGAGGTTTTACTGTAGTGAGGCTTAATAAAGAGTTAAGAATTCATTGAGGAATAAATGGCCAGGGGTAAAATAGCAGAGCTGCAATTCAAATTTATGCAGTTAGCCTCTGAAGTACTTTCTTACTTAGCCATTGACTAATGGTTTTAACCTGCCCAGTGTGGCTCAGTGGTTGAGTGTTGATGTCTGAACCAGGAGGTCACAGTTGATTCCCCATCAGGGCATATGCCCAACTTGTGGGTTTGATCCCCAGTAGGGTGCATGCAGGAGGCAGCCAATCAATTATTCTCTCTCATTGATGTTCCAATCTCTCTCTCCCTCTTCCTTCCTCTCTGAAATCAATAAAAATATATCTTTAAAAAAAATAAAAATGAATTTAGGTGACACACAGGTGAACAGTTTTCATTTTAACAGCAAATGTATTTAATAGAATGTATATTAGAAAAAATATAGTTACCACATCAAAGCCATGCTTTTATAGATATTTTTGCTTGGGATAAGGATAAAATAGGTTTTCAGTAAAAGATGAGTCTGCATAAATACCCATCACTAGGTGTAATCAGATGTGGTCAGACCATATGGTTCCCGGCCTGCCTCTGTGGCTGTGTATCTGTGGACGGAGGTGATTTTACACTCAATTTGATGTAAAGGGAACCATTCACCACAACTTGCCATCTTCACTCCACAGCAGGTGTCAGACGCTACCCTTCTCCTCACTAACAGAAGCTACCGCTAGCGACTCCCCCCACCCCCAACTCAGGCCTTTTTGTCTTTACCTGTGAGAAGTGTCAGGTGACTTCCAGGGAGCCATCTCCCCATGCTGCTGTGCAAGTCCGGGTTCCGGGGTTTCCTAGCGAGCCCTCTGAGATCCAGCACAGCGCCCTGGAGAAAATGCACCCATTCACCTGTCAGTGAAGCTTACTCAAGCTGGAGTTCCAGTGTTTGCCAGGCAGAACCTCTTCCCCTGCATCCCTGTCCCCTGGCTCGAGGCATGGGCCCTCCATGGCTCTACCCAATCCTCACTGGCTGCTCACACCATGGACCAGTGGGTATGACTGGGCCCAGAGGTGGGGCCTGACTTGTCCAGGATTGCAGAATGTGGAGCCAGACTCAGCACCAGGACCCTTTAAATGTACCCTCACAATAGGCGGGGGCAGGGATTCAGAGCTCCATTCTGGAGATGAGGTCAGTGTGGGTAAGGGTCCAGTCTCAGGTCCCTGATCCTATGCTTTAGCCCCTGCCGTGCAAGAGAAGAGACCACTGTCTAGATGAGTGGGGACCGCAGGCC